GGGACACAGGTGGAAATTGAGTGCCCAAATGAGCCACAGAGATATTTTAAAGAACGATTTTAGTGTCAGAGTGGTTGACAAATGGAATGCATTAGGAAGTGATGTGGTAGAGGCTGACTCCATACACAGTGTAGATATGATAGAGCCCAGTAGGCTCAGGAACCTGTACACCAGTTGATTGACAGTTGAGAGGCGGGACCAAAGAGCCAGAGCTCAACCCCCGCAAGCACAAATAGGTGAGTACAAATAGGTGAATACACACACACACACACACACACACACACACACACACACACACACACACACACACACACACACACACACATACATACACACACATACACACATCACTCACTGTAATACTCATAGTGAAAAAGTTGCAGCATCCCCAAATGCAATTAAACAAGTAAAAACAAATTATAAAAAAATAGGAAATTCAATAGACGTTTCTGTGGCTTGATACAACTACTGCCAACAGTAAATGAAGAACAAGAAGTGATCTCAAATACACTGACTTGCCTACATGCCAAAAACGACCAGACAGTAATGTATGAGAATACAAAAGAGAGGCATTCAGAACTTTTAAGATGTCTCGGCCTCTGAACTGATGCTTCTCAAATCCAGCTGCTTCGTGATATTTTCTGAAGCGCAAAAGTTAAGCTGAAAGGAAGGATTTTATGTGGCGAAAGACCACAGGAGTCTGACAGGAGCAGTGTATGCGTGGGGGAGGGAGCAAACTATCAATACTCCTTTGCAACGCACATAGGGTAAACAAAATATATATAATTTACATATTTTGAAAAAAATGTCAATTTTCAAAAGACATTTTGAAAATTGACCTCTTTCCTCAGACCCCCACTTGGGCAGATGTTCGTCCACTTACCTCTATATTCTCATGCAATAATTCCCCTCCAAGGTAGACAAGTCCATTCTCAATCGACATGAGAATGGTCCAGGACGGACCGAAACGTCGTCGTCCCTTCAACTTCTAGTGTGTGGTCTGGTCAACAAGATAGACAAATCAACATTGTTCGACGCTAGAAACAGCAGAACGAAGGGTCACAGATGCAAACTAGAGACTCATATGAATCAGGAGAAGTCAAAAAAAACTTTTTAAGTCTTAGAGCTTTCAGTAAGTGGGATAGATGAGACATAGAAGTGTTACCCTGTTACCTAGCAGTAAATAGGTACCCAGGAGTTAGACAGCTGTTACGGACTGCTTCCTGGGACGCGCGCGTGTGTGTGTGTGTGTGGGTGTGTAAAAATATTAGTTAGTTAGTAGTTAGAAACAGTTGATTGATTTACAGTTTAAAGGCGGTCCGAAAGAGCAGGGCTCAACCCCTCGCAAGCACAACGAGGTGAATACACACGCACAACCTCACGCATTTAAACATAAACACACACACATACGCCCCCACACATACACACCAACACACACACACACACACACACACACACACACACACACACACACACACACACACACACACACACACACACACACACACACGTGGAATCTCATGCTTCCCTTCCCTTCTAACAGGAGTACCATCCCCACCTCTAAACTGCACCGTCAGCAACCAGACGTGGGAGAGTGTGGAGGTGAAGTGCGGTGACCTGGGAGGCTCTCTGGGTCCCCACCACCAGCCTCCGGACCGCCGCCAAGGTGAAGACTACGACTACTCCTCCCCAGGAGACGATGACCTCCCAACGCCCAGCAACCCGGCGGAACTACTGCAGGATAAGGACAAGCCTCGGTACCTCCTGACGGTGCAGGAGCGACTCACTCACGCCGTGGTTCATAACGTCACGGGTGAGGCGATCTTCAGTACTCGGTAAAAGGGACTTTGAGAGTATTAGAGGAATGCGTATGTGAGTAATGGTCGGATCATTGGGAGTAATAGTTGGGGGATTCTGAGAGATGTTGTTGTGTTCCGGTGCAAACGTAGTGAGTTTTTTTATGTGCGTGTTTCTTTGAGTTGCGGTATTTGTTTTAAGTGACCAACGCGCTGGGGTGATTGTGTTTCGTCTCTATGTCTCTCTCTCTCTCTCTCTCTCTCTCTCTCTCTCTCTCTCTCTCTCTCTCTCTCTCTCTCTCTCTCTCTCTCTCTCTCTCTCTCTCTCTCTCTCTCTCTCTCTCTCTCTCTCTCTCTCTCTCTCTCTCTCTCTCTCTCTCTCTCTCTCTCTGCAACAACCATAGGTTCACAAATATCTCTCCATGTCGCAAGTGTATTTGAGTTGCAGGTTTCTCTCAAGTAAGTGTATTGTCATGTGTTACGGATGTATCTCTGTTTTAAGTGTCTGTGTAACAGGTGTCTAAGTCACAAGTATCTTTCTGTGCTGTAGATTTCTGTACAACAAGTATCACTCGGTCGCAAATGTGTGCAAGCGTTATGTGCCTAAATGCGATATATATGTACAGCATAACAGGTTAGAAGTACATGTAGAGTTTACTTGATACAAATATCCCTCAGAAATATCTCACTTCGTGTTACGAAGTGTCTCTATGTCACCAATGTCCTTCTGTGTTACAGGTGAGCGAGGAAAATTCTCTGTCAGCGGTCTGACGCCCGGGCTGGACTATATAATCTCTCTGGTCCGCTACAACAGCCATGGTCGTTCCTCTAACGTGACACTGGAAGCCTTTACCCTCAGGACGGCGGAAAACAGGATGCGTCAGTTTCCCCTCTGATTGTGTATTGAGGAGGGGTAGAGGGGGGGGGTGTGACGCGCTTTCGGGATGTAGTGTGGATGTAGGAAATTGTGTAGTGAGGTTCGGGGTTGCGTAGTGTTTTTTTGGGGGTGTTATATTGTATGTGATTGTACGTAATGGTGTAGAGGGTAGTCTAATGATGTTCAGATGTTGCAAAGTGGTGCAGATTGATGTATAGTGTCTAGGAGGCTGTATAGAAATACACTAATATGAATGTTTCATTGTGATGTTGTTGGTGTATTTGGATTGTATATTATTTATAACGGTTGTCTATATGTATAATAGCGTTGCCTAACTGTGTACTAGGGATGCGTAGTGCATAAAGGTTGTATAGCTGCGTGTACGTGCGTTATATAGCTGTATACGAAGATTGTTATACATTTCTATACATAGTACCCAGGAGTGATTAGCTTAGTAAGAGTAGCGTAGTGGAAGTATGTCAGTGAAAGTGTCCTGAAAGTAGAAATACTGGTGGAAGTAAACTAATGTGTGCAAGACAAGTGGAAGTAGACTATGAAGTACACTACTTCCCCCCCTTCGTAAACCAATTACGGGTAGTATAGGAGGGGTTAATCTGGTGGGAATAACGCTAGTTGAAATAACGTTAATATTGGATGAGTATATTGGTGAAGACCGGATGGTTGCACTGTAATATTGTAATGCATATTTGTTTATGTAAATTCAATATAGTTATATGATTTGCTTAACTGAAGATTAATTAATAGATTTACTTACTTTTGCACTAAGATAAGATAACTTTTCTGACCTAATAAACGTCAAATTCCTCAAAAAATATAGATTTTTGTTTTTATTTTTCCCATCGTTTCTTTTCCCAGGAGAAGAGGAAGAAGTAGGAGACTCGGCCCTACTTGGGATGGTGTTGGGTGTGTTAAGTGTAGTGCTTCTACTTGCCGTGGGCGCTATACTCATCACGTTACGCTCTCGTACACGCCCGCGAGCCTGCACGCCCACAGAGACTACCCGTCTACCGCCTGGGGACGCTAGCGACTCAACCGGATTGGATCATCCGGATCTTCTTGAAGGGGAGAGTCGTGTGGGGGCGGCTGGTGCTTACCGGTCGACGGAGGTCACGCAGGCGGTGAGTGTGTGGTGGTTGTGGTTGTTGTGGTTGTGGTGGGGGGGCGTTACTGGTTGTGTGGTGGTGGTTGTGGTGGGAGGGGAGCGTTATTGGTTGTGTGGTGGTGGTTGTTGTGGTGGGGGCGTTACTGGTTGTGTGGTGGTTGTTGTGGTGGGGGGAAGTTACTGGTTGTGTGGTGATTACATCCCTGTGTTTGTGTGCCTGTGGTTGTGTCGTGGTGGTGGTGGTGGTGCTAGTTGTTTGGTAGTTATATCGTGCTAGTTGTTATGGTGGTGGTGATTGTATGGTTGTGGTGGGGTGATTTTGGTATAATTAGAGTTTATGTGGAGTTAATTGTTGATTGTAATGTGGGGTTTGGTTGTGTGGTAACTGTGGGGTGGAGTGGGGGGTAGGACTGAGGTGCTGGGGGTAGAATTAACAAAGTTGGTTGGGATGGTCGTGTGGTTGTGTCAGTGGTATTGAGTGATGTTGGTGGTGGTAGTGGAATGGGCGCTGTTTTTAATGGTTGTAGTAGTGAGGATTATGAGTAGTGGTGAACGTGATAGTTGTACTAGTGGTTTGAGTGATGGTGTGACGTGGAGTGATGATGGGACTGGTAGTTTAGGTAGTGGTGGTGCATGGGGGGTAATGGTAGGGGAGATAATGGTTGTTGTAGTAGATGTACTGGTATATATTGCATTATATATGCTAGTATTATATGAATATGAGTGAGGTGGGGGTTTAAAGTTATTGGAGTTGATTATTGGTAGTAGTTGTGAAGTAGCATTGGGTGGTATAGATGTATTGTCGTTTCAGAACTGGAGAGAGTTTTAATGGTTGTGGTTTAAATGTTTATGTATATTTTTTCTGTTTAGCATTTCTTGAATTTAATGTTATGCTTATTAAATAGCTTCAAAAACTGTAGTATTCACATTCTTATGATAATTTCCAATATCATTTTCCATATGAAAAACTAGGCGAATGGTTTAGAATTTTGGTTTTCCTAATTTTCGTGAATAAAGGTATAATACATATTTACGTGTATGTATGCCTCAAAAGCCATTAAATGATACATATTCATACTTTTCTTTTAGTATGAGCCCTATAAAACTTGATTAAATTTTACAGTCTGCTTAGTTTTCCATACTGCTGTTTCTTGTTCTCACAAATGCTGTTGTGATATCTCGCAGCTGTTCATATAATCTATCACAACTGTTGATATGATCTATCACAACTGATATTGTAATCTCACATTGCTGTTGTGAATTCTTACATCTATTGTTTTGATCTCTAACAGCTTCTGTTACGATCTCTCATAGTTGTTGTGATCCTTCCTCGCAGCTGTTGTTTTAAACTCTCAAAACTGCTGCTATGTATTATCGCAGCTGTTATTATTTACTCCCACAGCTGCTGTCGCCGTCAGCCCGACCTGCGGACGAGAAAATGAGCCCCACACCCAACTCCGTCTCCCCCACCGCCCTCCACCTCGACTACCTCCCATGCGAGAGCTCAGACAACCTCTCCCCTAGTGTGAGGACCCACCCACGCCTCTACGTGAGGGCGGAGGGCCTCACCAACCAGCAGGAGAGCTTTCTCTGAACACACTTTCCTTAGACTAGGCCACGAGAGGGAAGCATTTTTTACCTCCTGGAGGCTTCTCCACATCTCAATATTGCCATGTAGTGTAGTATTTTAATATTTTTATTTTTTAATTTTTTAATTTTTTTTTTACTTAGAGTGGGTCTATTTATTCGGTTAGTGAAGACGTCTGCCCCACGTTTCTGTTCGCTCGAAGCTAAAAGGATATTTTCTGCGTGTTATTGGCTAACGTTGGAGTTTTGATATGGGATTTTTATTCTTCATTGTGTGTTAGAAAAGATGGTGAACTTGGACACGCGTCTTGGTCGTCTTGAAACAGTGATTGTCCTGTGTTTCAGTGGCCAGATAATTTTTATCGTGGATCTTAACAGAAAATACTTGAAAAAATATATAGAAAGAATAGAAACAAGAAACTAGAGTGGTTTAAATATAAAAGTAGAAAAGGATTAAATATATGATATTTTATTTTTATCAAAACTCTAGGCTTTTAAAGTCTCCCTTACCAGTCCATTTCCTCTGACATGGGAGACTGAATGGGTTCCATATTACTCAAGTATCTGATGGAGTTTATTCCTTCAGTACTTCAGTAAATAAGACGTCATTTAAAACGTGTCAAATATCGAAGACCCGTTGCCAGAAACGTTGCTGCTATAAACGTTACCAAGAAACGTTGCCAGACTTGGGTCGGTGTGATTCCATTACTGGCCCCACACAACGCCACTGTTCACAAATATTTCCAAATGCTCTTCCTCGATCGTTTTCTGCTGTGGTAACTGCGTCTATGGTCATGGCAACATTGCAGCTGCCATCATCAGGAGAAAACCGATTTCCCAGGAGAAAAATTTAAGGTAATGTGAAAAAATTTCCCCAAAAAAAACCAATGGCATAATGCTCAAGAGCCACATTGATAATACTCTAATCGTTCTCAGCATTATGAACCTCTTCTTGAGTATGTGAAGTGAGATGAGCAGATCTTGAGTTTCAACTTGAGTGCCCGCTCTGTGGCTGATGCAGTTTCTTAGCTGCTTTTGAGGGTCTTATCACCAGGGAATTTTGAGCGGCAACTTGTTTTTATTATGGGGTGGTTGCTGGTATTTAGGGAGTTGCATTTACTCCATATGAAGAAAACTACATATTAGACTTCCATTTATTTTTAAACTTTGAGATTGTCAGTCTATGTGCTCTTTTCATAAAGATATTTGATTGATGATTGTACAGACTTAGGTTGAAACCACATCATGAAAACATTTTCATCAATTGTGTGCGAGCATCAACTCCCTGAAAATAGAAAACCTTTGGAATGATAGGTTTATAAATATTGTAAAAAAAAATTAAAATTTATACTGTAAAAAAGTACTTCATGTAAATCATTAATGGGCCAGCATTTTTTTTAAATCTTGCTTTTATTGTTGCAATCTATTTTCATGTGCAATCATATTTTTCGACCTTCTAAACTGGAGGACAAGCCAATGTACAGGATAAGTAGACCTATATATATATATATTTTGGCAGAAGAGGCTGTGGAAATTTCTGAGTCCTGACGCAAGTGCGTGCGCGCTCGTGCTTATAGGTGTGAGGGTGCCTGTGTGTGTGTGTGTGTGTGTGTGTGTGTGTGTGTGTGTGTGTGTGTGTGTGTGTGTGTGTGTGTGTGTGTGTGTGTGTGTGTGTTTGTGCGCGCGTGCGAGTTCGTAGGTGCAGTTTTTGAGTGAGTATGTGTACATGTGTGTGTGTGTGTGGGTCTGTTACTGGTTAGATATTGCCATAAACATGTCTCCAAGAGCGGACCTATCAGCAGTAGACTCTCCTACTTGCAATCTGGAAGGCGGTGTAGGGAGGTTTCGGAAGTTGGAAGTACGACCATGATATTCACGGTACGACCATGGGAGTTGGAAGTACGACAACATCAGTAGATAGTACGGGCGTCTACCGTGAGAGTTCGTGCTACTGGAAACTGGTTCAGTGCTCACTTCCCCCCCAAAAAAATAAATCAGCCGAAAACTATTTATATAAATTGAAATATCAATTTATTTTGAATGTGGCTACTCTTGATATATGTATGCATGAATATAAAAAATATATTTAAATAAATTTTTAATTTAATTACATTATATATATATATATATATATATATATATATATATATATATATATATATATATATATATATATATATATTTAATCAAAAGGAAAGCGATTGATATGACAAACATCTTTACTTTTAATTAAAATCTACATAACGATTCGAATACATCGTTTTAATCATCAGATCTAAATACAGAAAAGTCATGAATTAAAATTAAATCACAGTACAAGAAACTTACATTGAATTACTACGGTATAAAGTATCTTAACTACATAAAGTTACCCCTTTTATGGCTTTATCCGTTACTCCATAAAAAGTCGTCTGAGGACATTTTTTTGGCCACATTATTATCCTAAAGTGGACTTTAGGTTAATTTCCATCAGTGCTATAGGATCTTGTTTTGAATTAAATGATAAGGTGCCCATTCATTTGTATGTCAGGATCATGTATATGTATAAATGTTCCAGCTTTAACGCGGGATATGTTGGGAGTTTCCACTCGGAACTATAAAAAAATTATGATACTGGAGTACATAGGGATAACTTTTGTGGACTGGCTTACGATCTAAGCCATCATTCTCAGATATTAGTAATAATTGTTAGGAGTCGAATCATTCTTTGCATAAGTCCGACTTTAAAAACTTGGATACATATATGAATGGTAAGTTTCACTTGCGTGTAATGGAATCTTTAAATGTCAGAAAGCTGCAGCCTCTGTTGAATAATAATATTGCAGCTGTACAGTTGAATACTATGTCAATTTTATGTAGGTTTAGGATTACCTTACTTTTGCTGCTGGTGAACTTAGTTTCTTTTAGTCCCCCCTTTTGTTCGAGTTTATTGACCTCATTTTCAGTGTCATCTTTTTTTATAATTATTTCTACTTAATTCATGTACTGGGAATAATATTTGGTGTTTATTATTGTGTAATATTTTTGTTTTTTGTAACTAGTATAATCAGTAATCTGTAATTGACTTTAATTCTTTTGTGCTTGTATAAGACTTTTGAATTACTTGGTATACAATTTTAATTCCGAATTAGTATTTGATGCCTTTGTTAAACATTTGTCGAATCCTATTTTGTTTGGTCATGTAAGTTGAGTTTTTATTTTTATTATTTGTATAATTAGTGTGATTTCTTTCTCTTATCATGTAGTAAGTAGCCCATTAAGTTTCTTGTTCTCAACGTTAATTTTAATTTACGATTTTCATGTACTCGCCTAGCTTTGCTTATGGGGGTTGAGCTCCAGTTCTTTGGTCGCGCCTCTCAACTGTTAATCAGCCGGTGTACAGATTCCTGATCCTATTAGGCTCTATTATATCTACATTTGAAACTGTGTATGTAGTCTGCCTCCACCACATCCCTGCCTAATGCATTTCATTTAACTTCTCTGACAATGAAAAAGTTTCCTCTAATGTCTCTATGGCTCATTTGGGTACTCAGTTTCCACTTGTGGCCCCCTTGAGCGATTACCGCATGTGTGGAATAAACTGTCTTTATCTACCCTATCAATTCCTGAGAATTTTGTATATGGTGATCATGTCTCCCCCAACACCTCTTCCAGTGACATGAGGTTTAGTTCCTGTAGTCTCTCCTCGAAGTTCATACCCCTCAGCTCGAGTACCCGTCTGGTGGCATACCTTTCAACCTTCTAAAATTTAGTGTTATGCTTGACTAGATACGGGCTCCACCTGGAGCTGCATACTCCAGAATTGGTCTATCGTATGTGGCATATAACGTCCTAAATGGTCCTGTGTTTTAGACCTGATGATGAATGCGTCGATGTATTCGAAACGTTATGTAAATTTTAATTACAAATTTATTTGATTTTTGTCACATCAACCCTTTTTCCTTTTTATCATGGTGTATCAGCCTTTCTCAAATGAGTCCACGCGCTTAACCTTATCAACAAAAAAAGCACATTAAGATCTATTTATAATCTATTTTAAGTGTTACACTTTATTGCACGTTTATAAATTGGCATAGATCGTTTATTTTTCCGTTTAATTATCGTGCCATTGTGATATTAATGATAGATAAAATTAAGGTTCAGGCATATATGAATGACGGATTAAAGTTTGGGTATGTTCGAACGGCCGGAAAAATGCCTTAATGGCATTTTGTTTCTGCATCTCGTACGTGTGTAGTTCTTGTTTTATGGGTATATGGATTTTGCCTCCTGCATTTCGGGCGTGTGTAGTTCTTGCTTCATGGGTATATGGATTTTGTCTCCTGCATTTCGGACGTGTGTAGTTCTTGCTTCACGGGTATATGGATTTTGCCTCCTGCATTTCGGACGTGTGTAGTTCTTGCTTCACGGGTATATGGATTTTGCCTCCTGCATTTCGGACGTGTGTAGTTCTTGCTTCATGGGTATACGGATTCTTCCGTTTGTCAACAGCCACATATTTTTTCCTAGCGAATTCACCGACAGTAGACCTCGGTACTCCTCACCCACTTGTATTGTGGGTGGGCATTCCATGCCCTCAAAAAACAAACCGAGCTTGTCTCTCTTATCACATCAACCTGAGACCTTAAAAATTACACAGAAGGCCAAATCAATAACCCTTTGTTGAGAGGAAAATAAGTGATATAATCTTTAATATGGATTTTTGTACGTAACTGAACTTTGTGAGGAAGAGAGAGAGGAGAGTATTGGAAGTGGGACGTTTGCAGGTTAAAAAAAAGGGGAATGAGGGGAGGATATTAGGAGGCTTAGCAAATGTAGAGAAGGGGAATGATATGAGGTGGGTACTGAAGATGTTAGAAAGGAGGATTAGGTCCAGCGGGGCTAGGGGCAGGTCCAGTGGGATTGGGAGAGAAATTAAAACGGGAACGCTGTGAAAATTTAATGGAATACTACATTAAACCGTATATGAAATATCTGGGGTGGAAAGTGTTCATTGATGTCAAAAACGTCCAAACCATCGTACAGAAATGCGTTAACGATATCATAACTGAAAGAGATCCCATATATGTTATCGCTATGCGATATCGTAAACGAATGTGTCAGGCTTTTCGTGAGAGGAAATCACTGCAAAATAACCTTGGAAGTTTTCACGTGTACCATACGTGGAAAAAACAATTGGTTTTATTAGATAATGAGCAACGTACATCGCTAACGAACGAGAAACTTAACGAGTAAAGATACCCCACTCAAAAGTTAACGTGAGACACCTCTCGTACGAACATGTAGTGAGAATATCGTTAAGAACAAGTCGAAATTATGCAGTAGACGCCATGTATCGGAATTCAATAATCTTGTCATATTGAGCGTTCATGCTTTGAGTTCAGTCAAGAGGACAAAATTGTATTTGATGAATTTAATGCTGTATCTGGCCTACGTCAAGTCACACTAACCTGACAAACGTCACTTAACGTTACCTGCTGCACCTGGCCTACACAGGAATAGCTGCGTTACCCAACTGACGTCAATTAGCCCTTGTAGACCATTGTCAAGTTTTTGCAAATTGCTTGATTTTCCAATAGTTTTTTGGATTATATTATTATATCCAAATCGCCATAATTAATGTTTTAATTGACATGTAATTTGGAAATGGTTGTCAGTTTCCTGCAAGAACACAAACTGATGATTTCATGAGACATCAGATTCTTTAATTATTCCTGAAGTGCGAAGATAATATGATTTTTACAGATTGTGAGAAACTCATCATACATATGCAGTCACAATAACGTATCTGAAGATATAATGACCAAACCACATATCAGAATATGAAGAAACGTCGACGTTTCGACTTGATAATAGTCCATGACGGACCGAAACGTCGTCGTCGTCGTCTCCTCATCGGCTGATATGTAACTCATCTCATTGGCTCTCCAGCCTCCATTACACCAGATAGCAACCAAAACTATCCGCAGAAAACATGGGTTAACTTTGCATATTTCATCTCTATACTGCTGTCATATCACTCATTCATAAGTCCCTACAGTATTATTCATCAAACCTCCATAAAGGGAAAGCCATGATTTTTCATTATCGTACTTATTTCGTGATACGAATGTTTGAGGCAATTATATTGCAATACGATATTCCTGCTAAAGTGTGCGAGCTTTCAGAGCTCGGTTTAAACAAAATTTATCATAGACTAAGTAAGCAGGCGATGAGTCACAATAACGTGGCTGAAGTATGTTGACCAGACCACACACTAGAAATTGAAGAGACGACGACGTTTCGACTTGAGAATGGTCCAGGACGGACCGAAACGTCGTCGTCTCTTCAATTTCTAGTGTGTGGTCTGGTCAATAGACTAAGTAACCAAGACCTCAACCTTGGACCTCAGAACTATGAAGGCTGTTGGAACCCGCCCATTTGTAATTGTCAAGCGATTAGTTTCCTCACAAAAAAAGAGTTTATTAATCTGCATGAGTTTATTGATCTGATGCTTTAGTATACCTTGAGGTTACCTTGAGGTGCTTCCGGGGCTTAGCGTCCCCGCGGCCCGGTCGTCGACCAGGCCTCCTGGTCGCTGGACTGATCAACCAGGCTTTTGGACGCGGCTGCTCGCAGCCTGACGTATAGGAGCAATACCGGTAATGATTTTCTGTGGTCAACATCTTGCTTTCATGTTGGCAAGTTCATACCTTCCTTTGGGTAAAATTCTGCCTGTCTGTGGGTAATATTATTCAGATCACATCTGCCTATTATGTGACTGGGGAGTGACCCACAGTTTACATAATAAATCTGTAAACTTATTTCATTAAGTTTACAGATTCCTTACCTGCTTCCTCTAATATCAGAGCTCGTAAATTTTGGCAAATGGATGTTTAGATGCACAGAAATCTCATTACCACATGCAATGTTACAAATGAAAAGATCCTCTACGACAGTAGAGGATCAGTAGAGTAATCTAGTTAGTACTTCTCTGGTTCATTGCTTGAATCTATGGTCCTGCACTGCAATCTGTGGTCCTGTACTGCAATCTTTGGTCCTGTAACAGCAATCTATGGTCGTGTGCAAGATTCTATGGTCTTTTGCAGGATGCTATGGTCTTGTGCAGAATTATATG